TACAAGGCTGTACTTCTGTATTGACATTTTGGGGTCAATCATCTGTAGGGCGAAGCACATAACTTTCAGGTGGCCTAGCTAGCTATAGTGTTCATTTGTTAAAGACAAGTAGCGTATAATCTGTGGGGTTTATATTAGAAGTTATCCTGTTCTCATTATGTATGCAATCCGCAGTGGGTGTAAAAACAAGAACATGATTGTTTATTAGAAAACGGCTTTATATTATTGTCGGCTTAGCTCTTTGGTCACTTAAACAAATTGAATTAAAAGGAACTGCTACCGGGTGGGGTAGAGATTGGAATGCTCACAGACTTACAACAACATCCCACCCATCTTACATTCACTACACAGTAAAAAGAAAGCACACAATGCTTTTCAGCAGTACTTATTCCGATTTATTGAGATTGTTTTGTAATACTGAGCGTGACCGTTTTCTCATGATTTTCCCTCCGGGCTGGCCTCAGCCACACGGCCGAGCTCAGAGGAAAATGAAATTTCCAGCGGACAGAGCTGGCAGTCTCGATAAAAATAATACACGCCAGGTCAACTAGGCGCATTTTCCGGTCTTAGAATCAACCCCAATTTTGCCAAAAACAAAGTTGTGATGATGGAAGACCGTTTACAGTATGTGGTATACTTTTTGCTGAACATTTAAATAGTGTGATTGAATGAGAAAAAAACAAACATTGGTTGTCATTGTTTTGATGCATGCAAAAAACTTAGCTTATGGAAGTTAGTTACATCTCAAAAAGCTTTTGGAGCAGATAATCTACCAGCCCTGCTCATTTTGTTAGCTTTCAAAAAGACCAGATGGACACTAATTTACAATCATATAAAAATGAAATAATAAAATAACAACAACAAAATATGGTTGTTAAGTGTGAGGCTGTCAAATAAGTACCAAATGAGCCCATAGCATTATTATTGGGAACGCTCTAAAAACTGTATTTGAAATTAAAATATGAAAGCTTTTAGGCTTTTCTGTTTTCTATACTGCAACTATATTTGAAAATGGCCTATTCACAGTAAAAATTGAAACTTTACAATAAGACTTGAAAAACTTAGCACTTCTCCCATCTGACAGTCACTGTTAAAAATTAAAACAGATTTGCCTCATTTTTTCGTAGAGCCGGAGTGCCAAAGTGATCGGAGTCGCATATCTCCTAGCACTATTCCTTACGCCCTCTACAATTAAAAATAAACCATTCCTTAGATTAGTTTACAGGACTATAGCAGAGACGTATACAGGTACAGTAACCACTTAACGCACTCGTGATTCGGTTTAGGTGTTTACTAAATTATGATCAGTTATCAAGCGAGTTAAACACATTAGAAAACGTAAAATGTTCTAAAAATCGCATACAACTACATTCACTTCATTCTGGTGATCCAGACACGCAGACATACCAAACCTTAATTTAGAAATGACACTTGACTCAAGATGAGTTTTTGGCGCACAATCCTTTATTGCACCACACACATCATAATAGACAAACAAAATAGTCTAATCCTTCGCTGCTAGTTCCTATGTTTAAAAGGAAGATCGAGGGGGAGAGTGAGTCAGGAAAGGAGCGAGAAAGCGAACGAGGACAGGATGCCAGGAGAGGGAGGAGAGGAGGGTCACAGAAATATACTCGCGAGAAGCACAAATAGAGAATAGAGGACGAAAGTTTGTTCACAAATGCAGCACTAGTTAGTTTGTACGCAAATACCTTAACAATCTTATAAACATTTAATGATATAATACTAATAATAACTATAATAATTAATAATTTAAATAAAATACACTGGGTGATTGAGTCGCATTTTGTTCACCATCTTGAGGACTAGAATAAGTTTGTGGTAGCGCGGTTGCTAGCGGGGTGGGGCGTTGCGGGGGTCCGGGTGGGGCGTGGCGTAGCGTGGCATAGCGCGCTACTGCAACCCTCCGCTCAGAGATTCTATCATCAGGTCGAACTTGGCTTCTTCCTCCTTGAGCAGGAGGGCCTCAAGGCACCCTTTAAAGTATACGGTGCTATAGCAGTCGCTCCTGAAACAGGAAGGAAGTTGTGTTAGCACTCAGTCGACCAATTCCTTGGCGCGCTGGTCGGAGATTTAAAGACTCCGAAAACGCACAAAAACAAAACGAATGTCCTTGTATGAAAAAGTTTGGACGGAAGGAAAAAGGCAGCCTCCTGTCAAAATTCAAAAAAGAAACAGGCCCAGATACAGGATTTCTTTGTGATCAAAACATTTTGTGAAGGAAAACAAAAGTCCCACATCAGTCAACATCACAATGAAAAATCAAAACAGTCATCCCATAAGAATCTTCCAGACGTCCGGCCAGTCGTTGCGGGCCCGTCTGCCTGCATGGCGCATGGCCGGGAGCGCCTTGCGGGGAGACGAGCTCTATTTGAA